TTCTCATTCTAATAAGTCCAACAGACCCCAAGGAGAAGCTGCCAAAAGATGGCACCATTCAGCAAACACCACCAAAGTCCAAGTTATGCCAGGACCAGAGAGTTGTGTGATCTGTCAGTCCAGATCAGCACATGTCAATACAATATTTCAATAACAAATAGGCATCATATTGGAGTTAAAGCTAGGGTACCTACATTTCAAACCATAGAAAACCTGTATTATGAAATCCATCTAACTAGTTCATGGCTCTAAAACGGTTTAGTTGGTTCATATCAGATTTTTCTGCCAGCAAAGCCAATCAGCTCTGAGCCCAAAGTGTCAAACTGTGACCCACCACAAGGCTCTTTCAAAGTGCAAAAGATACAATGATGTGGTCAGATTATATCACACACTTTCACTCTCACAAGACTCTAACTCTTACTTACTATTGATGACATGTACATATGCACATAGAAGTGAGTAAGAGATGTTATATTTGAGTATTTATATACAAACACTGTGACAGCTACAGTATCATTTACCTCATCTGTATATTTATGGTCTTTTCATTTATTTGTGTGCAGCACTTTACAGAACTCCAATGCACTTCTTCCTGTATTCTCACATCAATGTACTGTACATGTTTTCTGTTATCGTGTTGTACCTTTCCCACAGTATTTCCATAGACCTTTGCCAACAAGCAGCCAGAAATTCTCCTTTCGAATTCTCTGCATACTTACATAACATCACACGGTAAATGATATCCAGATGATATCCAGCGGAACCCAGCACTACAAAATTCCTCTCTTGACAGAATTAAGAGAAATGTCAGAGTGATATTGCCAATACGGTTTAAGAGCTAAATCTTGTATCTTTCAATGCTTTTAACGCAAACCTGTAGCATGCAGACTAAAGGTTGGCATGTCCAAAAGCATTCATATGTGATGTAGCATGATCTTAAGTGGTCTGTTAACAATATAGACCTTTTAAATCAAATTCGTTGCCAGTTTTGTCTCACGGTTTGGGGAACAACCACTCAACTCCCAGCCAAAGTCTTTTAGAAGCCCTCAAAACATTGTCGTGCCATGCCCTCGATCCATGTCCTAAACCGTACATACTTATGCTAAATATTAATACAAGCGTTTCTGTTCTTTGGAGAGACATTCTTTTGTGCTTAACGGCTATCACCTGCAGACTGAAGCATGCCAAAGAGAAAGGAGCGATCTCTGAGGAGGGATCGTGTCAGTGTCACAGACAGTTTCTCCACAAGGAAAATGAGAATGCCTTAAAAGTGCCCAAGTTCATTTCTCTCAGGCCTGGAGAACCCATCACGCATGTCTGCCAAGAGCGCATAGAGGTTTTAATGATTATGTTTAATGACTGATTTTGCTAATTATTTTAAACAATGGAACATGTTTGCTGTTGATTTATACACCGTGCAAAAGTACATTGGTTTATTGAACTTCAGATGTTTCATATCATACAACTTGAGTTTTAAACATGATGATTGTCTATTTAATTTCCATTATTCATATCGCACGCTTTGCACGCATCAATCACAGAATAACATTAGTATTTGATCTTTCTGTGCATTGCAACACTGAAATTTCCCCGATATAGGATGTTATTAAATGTTCTCTTGTCTTATAACTTGTAGGTTTGCTCAACAACAGGAGAAATTGTCTGACCGTTAAACTTTACCACAAGGCAAGCCAAAGCCCTTCAGAACACGACTATCACACTGTACTCTGTGGAGCGAGTGGACCAGAACTGAAATATAAAATTAGTTTTTCCTTCAGTCTGGTCCGGTCCAGAGGGCGGCCCTTCTGCCTTTGCTGCAGCAGACTAAAGCCTCTCTCTTTTGGCAGCCTCACATCGCTCCAACTTGTCACTTTTAGCTTCACACCCGTCTTCAAAACCCTGCACATAAACGCCTGGGTATTACCCTCTCTGTTTTCCTTTACGGGCGAAGAAAATAGTTTTGTAGGAAAGTGAAGAAAGATGGTATTGTTGCTGAGGAAGCGCTAATAATTAATCATGGCCTGTATTTGTCTTTCCTGAGCCCTCTCCAAAATCTGCCGTAAGAGAGAAAACAAAAATATATGAGGCGTTGAAGGAGGAAAAGAAGCAAAATAGACTTAATAGATTCATTTCCTTGTGCAATGGTTTCCAAAGGGCTGGTCCATTATAGAGGAGAAAGGCTGTTTATTTGTATGGTTTCACACCGAAATGAGGCGATGACACAATACTTCAAATAAAAGCTGACATGTCAAACTGTATTTATACTCTATTTGAGATACGTTAGTGAAAAGTGGATAAAAACTGGTCTGGAATACTGCTCTGTTGTCTCACAAAGTCTGATAAATCAATATTGTTTTGTGTGTGTTTTTTTTTTTTTTTTACTAATGCTCAGATCTGAAGTAACTGTTATCACACACATTACTTTTTATAGTCCCAAAAGAAAGTCTGGTTGTGACATTTTGTGAACAAATCAAAGCACAACTTGCGTTATCTAGATAGAAACATGAAATATTTTGCATTTGTAAGAAACAACCCTGTGAGTCACAATTTGAGAGGTGATTGGCTGAGTGAGGATGGACCTCTCTTTCCACTTTTCTGATTGAAAAAGCTGATCTAACGATGTCCAAAATACATGCATGTGAATACTATGAATAAAACCAAATAGTTTTGAGGGTTAGGAACTAGTTAGATCCATTTTATTGTTCATGGTTTAACAGGAAGAACTTCAGCTTTGATGGAAGGCTATTAGGTCATGGATGAAGTTTACCAGATGGACCGTTTCGATGGCGTGACGCGGGTGGAAGTTTAGCAAAGAGAAACGCGTCTTGTGTCACAAATTCATCTGCACGTGAGGACAGAACAAAGAAATCTGACGAGAAAGACTCCGCTTCAAAACAATGATACGCTACAATGATTGTATTGAAGTGTTGCTGAAGGGGTGGACACTCACACGTCTGTAAACATATGAATACGTGAATATATTCTTTTTTGTTATAACATTTTCCTCGCTGCCTTTTTCTCCAAATTATGAGGATGTTTGAATATTTGTAAACCTACATTTCCCCCCATACCGTTTACCACTCGCCTGATACGTTCATTTTGCTCTGATCCACGCTTATTGGGTTCATTTAAACAATCACAATGAAAAGTATAGTAAAAAAATCAGCAATGCATTTGTTTTTTTCTGCATTGTAATCGTTGGTTAAACTCTCAACTCCACTGTCTCTTGGTTTTGCCTGGCATTAATGTTTGCCTTCGTGAACACCATCTAAGTTTGGTTGCGTGATCCAAACTGGAGTTAAGCAAAGAGCGACGCCTTTTGTGTCACGAATGCCGCGTATCGCCTGCCAGCCGAACAAAGACATGGATGAGTACTATCAGTTAATGGGGGTGGCAAACTGAAGCAATGATAGCCAAAGGTTAATGGGGGAAGGGGGGGTACCTCACTGGAGGCTAGAAGGGCGGGGCACAGAACCCAATGCATCCATTTATTTACATATTTATACATAGTTTATAATGAGGACCTGTGTAGTGCGTGACTAATCTGCGCTCTCTACAATGAGTGAAGGGTTGATCTCTTGGAGTGAGCCACATGTAGGCTGACAGCACGCCGTAAGAGAAACACGCAAACATGCATTGGACACGCAACCTACACCATAGGCAAGAGCAGCCCTGGACATGTGACAGAGGGCACACCAGGCCTGAACCTGGGCATGTCTCATGGGTTTGATCATGACAGTGGATTGTGTTGGGTAAATGTGAAAAATGTGATCAGATTTCAGATCCAGATCCATTGATGTAACTGAGGCTTGGACACTGTGTCATTCATTCATTCTGAGCAGAAGTTACTACATTCATAAATAGTCTACAATATTTTGTATTATGTAATATTTAAAGAACATTTTGAACAATATCATACTGTTCATACTTGACTGTATTTCTATTTTCTATTTATTACATACATTCAGAAACATGATCCAGTCAATAATAGTGATGTTTACAATCTCCAAGCAGAGTATTAATTGCGTTTCCAGTTTTTCCTTTTTACTAGCATCACACATTTGTTTAAATGAAAGCACATAGAAAAGTAAGATTCAGAATTTGAAAAAGAAAAACGTCATTTTCATGTACAGTATCAATGATAATGATTTTGTAAATACAGAAATGTGAGTCAAGGTAGCAATGAACAGATATATATATATATGAATCCATTGCTGAATTTGAGATACATCTGTACTTTCATTTTTATTTTATTTTTTTATTTTACTTCTAGTTTCATTACAACCCTGACATTTGCACTGCCTATTGCATATTGTGTGCACCATGTGCACTTGTATATTGTACATAGTGACTGTAATTGTAATTGTAATAATTCAATTTTAAATTTTATACCGTAGAAGTGTATGCTAATAATTTTTATTATTCTTATTATGCCTTACTCTATTCTCTATTCTTTACGTCTCTTCTTTGACTGTTGCACTGAGCCAAAGCAATTTCCAAGTCTGTGACTTCCTGTTACTTACGTGTCAATAAAAATGATTCTGATTCTGATTCTGACATTTCCTGATGACATTGTTTGCATGCAACTTATTTCAATGTAATTTGCATAGATTAGTCTCGAAGTTTATTACAATGAATACGTCATTGTTAGCCACAGTCATTTCTATTGTAGTTCTTTGACTGTACTTGTTGCCACACACACACACACACACACACACACACACACACACACACACATATAGAGTAGTACCAGCCATCATTGCCGTGCTCCCATTCTTAAGGTCATATTGTGTGAGTTTTCAAATTCTTGTTTTTGAAGCGACAGCACGCGATGACTGCAGTTAATGTGTTCACCATATGAACTTTTGATTAGTGTTGTTTTCCGGTTCTGGTGTGACCTTGTTGTTCTCTGCTTCAAGGTGTGTTTGAGTTCAGCTTTTTTTTTGTCATGACCGTCTCCTAAACTTTTGCTTTCATCTTTTTTTTTTTTTTGGTCACAGGAAATCAGGACAAGAGCTCCAGAAAGCACAGCATCCACTCCAGCCATGAACCCAGGAAAGAGAGCGTTCCCGTGGGCTCCGTCAACGAGAACAGCCTCCTCCTGGAAGTAAGGAACAACATAGATTTTACAGTTTCTCAATCAGCCCAATCGGAGAGATGTCATTTTATCTCCCAACATTTCTAATCATGGAGACTTCAAACAAAAACACATAAAAGGGTTTTCTAAAATGGCTTAAAAAATATTACCTATTACCCATTACCCAAAACAGTTTTCATCATTGCTTTTGAGTTTACTATTCAGGCTTAGTGTGTCTTTGTCATCATATGTCGACAACTACACAGTGTATGCGGCACATAGGTACCCCAGCGTGTCTATTAAAGCTGGGGTACCTAACATTTATATTTCACAATTACTTGTTATTGGTCCGAACAGACACACTTATTTGATTACAACAGCAACCACATCCCAGAGACATTTGATGTACCATCCCAGAACTTCTCTCTGGTCTGGAGCAGAGAGGTCCAGGATGCAGGCGGACGGGGCTATCCCATTGTAGTGCATGCGTGTATGCCCTTTGGCCGCTGCGCTGACCTGCTTTGCTCGGCCCGGGTGTTGCGTGACACGGGGGTCGATATGAGAGTGTCGGAGCTGATGAAGTGTGTTGCCGGGGTCTGCGCGGGGGCAACTGTCTGAAAGCATGGCCCACTGTGTGAAAGTGAGCAGAAGATGGTGAGAAAAACACACCATGCTGTCAACACTAATTAGAACTGAGACCAATTTGGGCTCCGGCAGTTACTCCCTATATAATGGCTGGGGGGACAAAGGCACTCAAACTGATTATGATTGCATAAGGGGAAAATGTATACACGCGCACAGTTCAAAGCAAGATTTTCATGCCGAGACAGAGGAAGAGTAGTGAGCCGTGCGATTGATAGACTGTATGAAGTCTGCCCACAGTCCCGGAGTAGTTTTACCATCAAGAATATGTCATGAAATACAAACTATACATGGTTATGAAATATACAGGTTCATTTTTCTTTTACTGATCATTGATCAGGAGACAATAATTCACATTCAGGCTGAGACAGAAACCAGTAACTAACTTCTGTTTTATAAATGCCACAGGTAGTTTGTCTCAGATAGTGTCTTGTCAAAGTAAAATATTGTGAGCACATCTATCTGTCCTCATCTTAAAACATCATGGACACTGGACCCGGAGTCACCGTGTGAAGCTTTGGGCAGAGACTGAGTGAGATTGGTCCTCACTTTTTTTACTGGAAGAGACATAGACCAAAAATATAGACACGTGAAAGTACTCCAGCTTTAGGACTAAGCTTCACTCAAATTACTCTATTGTTTTACTCATACTTTAAAACACTACTTTTAAAAGAAATCCTTCACATGAGCAAATATTTGAAGATGATTAGTTTGATCAATCACATTGGGAGAAACAGCAGAACTGCACAGCATCCTTTGACACGGACATTTTAGTTGAACCGAAAGATAGCAGCTACTTATTTTCTATATTTTGTGTGTTCCCTGATTGCTCTTACTACTGTCCTGTATGTGCGCTGCAACACTGACATTTCACGAATAAAGGATTGCATATCTTATCCTAAATTTGCCTGCCCTAATGTCCTATTGACACAACAAAGACCCATTAATGCCAATTCCCTATGTAAACGACCTGCTGTGTTGTTATTGTTGCAATATCAATACTTTTCTGATCCATGTGCAGTAACCTCCCATTGCGTGACTGTTTGGGGGCAGATGTGCATTAGCTCTGGTGGGAGGGGCGGGGGAAGGGGCGGGGAGGGGGCGGGGGGGGGGGGGGGGGGGGGTGACGTAGACCATTGCATGTCTTGGTACAAGTGTGTTTGACAGGTTTAAATAAATCACTGTATGGATGTGATGTCGCATGTACAGTGAATGTTGTTGAGAGACTGGAGCTGAAAAGGAAAGTAATGTTTGTGCAGAACGTATTGATTTGGGAAGATTCAATGCACAATTAAGAAAAGCTTTTATGTGTGTATTTTATTTTTTTATCGAAAGGTTGTTTTTGACTCATTTATTCACTCATAAATGGATCTATTTCTATATCACGTTTATGGGTTTCCAAACTGATGCAAGGGCTCAATTGCCGCTGACATTTGGAAGTGGGCAAATGCTTTTTAAAGATTTTTCAGCACAACATAAGAATTTCTATTTCATCTGCTTTTTCTTTTTTGGAAAGTGAGATATCGGAAAGTTTTTTTAAGTGAATCTGAACCCCATTGTTTTTAGGGGAAACTTATGTAGACCAAACATTCACATCACTCAAGGTAGTGCGGAGGAAGTGTCTTGCCAAAGGACACACACATTTTACAGCCATTGTGGCGGCGGAAGTTCCCACAGTAGCTTCTGAGGACAAATGGGATAAGTCTTTCACAGGCAGGAGGCGCTAAAGTAGATGTTTTCAACCATCCATTTTGGTCATAGTGCCATCCAGTGCAACATGATCCAATATATTGGTCAATCCAACCCATATCGGTTTAATCAATACATTCCTGACCATTACATTGGTTAATTTAACCAACACCAGCTGGATTAGTAGTTGCTCCAAACATTTTTGTAGACTGCATTCTTCCAATCCACTTTATTTACACAGCACATTTTACAAAACAAGTTACCAAAGTGCTGCACAGAGATAAATTCAACACATTTAAATATGCACAATTCTTCCTGATGTGCAGATCACATTAACAATAGCACATTTCACAAAAGACTCAACATAATTCACTCCTGTGTCCTGAGAGAATATGAAAACAAATATAAAGTTGTACAATTTCCTAATAGCAAACCTATACATTCTCAGAATCAAGCTAAAAATTGCAGATTGCAATTTAAAAATCACATACAGTCTGATTTTAAGATCTCTTTACCCCATGGACATGTATAAAATCCATTCCCACATTGTAGTGTAATTCCCTGTAGTCATCTCTTTGAACATGTGAAGGATGTATCTGTTACCGGTGGCAACAGGTCATTGTTCTTCAGAGCCTTCTGATCGTCGGCTTTCATCTGGCCACAACAGATGCCCGACAGGAAAGGAATCTGCTCCAAAACAATCCACCTCCACTGCCCTGAGCCTCCCTCTCCCTAAACCACAGTAGAATACACTTGATTTTATTTTAGACAGTGCGTGCAAAGCCTCCCTGAACATTTGTCCAGTGGATGCTTTTTAGTTTATCCGAGCGGTTATAGGAGCCAGGGGTGATGTTGCCTTTAGCTACAGGTGCTTGTTTCCATGAGCTGCAGACTTCACTATGTCAGGAATGAAAGGGGAACAGCAAAAACTTTAATGTTGTGGTATTTTTTGTGAGATGTCAGCAATGAATCTAAATGTATTGTGGTGTGGGGAAAACTATACGTACAAATTTGACCCCTGTCCATCCGTCCTGACATGACCTTCCCAGTGCCTGCCCAAAACATGACAGAGACATGTGCGTTTTTGCTTAGCCAGTTCTCACAGGTTCTTATTGACACTAATAGATTGACACTATAGATTTTTTTTTTCATTTACCAACTGCATAATCTCCTTTGTCTCCAATTTTAAGCATGCCTCAACATTATTAGCTGCTCAACTTTGACATTTAAAATATCCTAAAATAGAGCAGGCTTCCAAACATCTTAAACCAAATCAAACTTCAACGACCAACAGACTCCAAAGGTCAGCCACGTCAGACCTAATGTAAAGTCCTAATGTTAATCCATTGTTTTATCCATATAAACAAATAAATACATCGGGTCCATGGGGGATACTGTACTTCCTGAAATGGCTTGAGTTCCGTAGCGTGCTTGTGTTGGTCCTGGCGTCTGAGGCTCTAACTGGGGCTTCCCTCTCTGTGGATGTGCCACTTCTGTCTGTCAAACAACATCTGCGTCGTCTACATGCGATTCACCCCCCCCCCCCCCCACCCCCCCCCCCCCCCCACGCTTCCTCAACCCTCCCTTACCCCGTCCTCATCGTCCATTCATGAGTGACTTTCCCTGATATCCTTCATTTACATCCTGCTGCCGCTCATCACACGCTGTACATTTGACTCTAATAATGCAAGGGCTGTGCCACCACCTGCCTTGGGGTAGACTGTCAAAGCATGGCAGCCAATCTACCCTTCTGACCACCACAATTATTCACGCACACACTCAACCTGAACCTGAATGAAGGATACTTTAACAAGACAAGATATATTTTTCAGGCATGTTAATCTTGGTAGAAAATTATGTTTGGAAAGTATATGGAGATTGTTCACAAAGAGCACATTGTAATCTATTTTTATACCTGAGACTGAACTATCTGAGCTATGGGATGATTGACTGAGTGACTACGTGAGGCCAAAAATACATTTACGTTAAAGTAGCAATATGTAAGATTTTCATGTCAAGTCATCATTAAGTGGCCCTAATATGTCAAAAGGCATTAATTAACCGTGCTCTTTTCAAATACTTATTTAAGTGATAGCAGTAGTCCAGCCGAGATATTTGGATTTCAAATTTTGTTTTACAGCTCGTAAATCTTGTCCCACCCTCCACTGTTTTACCCATCAGAAAGTATGTGATCCGGTTTGCCAAGACTCAGCGCGTTGAGCTAATCTCACTGGTAAAGTAACATGTGGCCACAGAACTGAGAAAGGTCTCGTTATGATTCTCAAATCATAATGACAGAACAAGGAATAAAACCATGATTTCTATCTTTGTGAAAAAGGTGTTGGGTATAGATTTGTTGTTGACAGATATCATGGTCCCAGCTGGATTTGTCTGCATATCTGACAACCTGAGTCAGGGAGAGTGCAGTACCACTTTTGGCGTTTTACATACTGCTCCTTTAAAGCTAGTTATAGAACCAAACAGTTAGGCATCCCACAAGTTAGGTACCACAGCAAAAAAATATTTGCTTCTTGTTTCAGCCCTACTTTTTTAGCACACGCTCCTACACGTGCACACATTCAGATTCATTAGACATAAATTGTTGTTACATATGTTGCAAAAAATATAGAACTGTATTGTAAAAATTTGTATCATCAGAGTCTATGTAGCAGTTTCTGGTGTAACGGGGACTGAACCGAGATCTCAGCATGTGGTCCAAAGTTGGACTTGAAACCCTCTGGCCAAAGCAATCGGATCAATGTTGAGCGAGTGTGCAAGCAGGCAGGAGACAGGCGAGCATTGGCGTGAACGTGTGGTGACATGGAGTGAATAAAAAACGCACACAACAGATGACACCGCAGCATGAGAGTCCCTGCAAAGTGTCCTAGTTAAAAAAGTGACAGACTGAGGCAGCTGCAGTCCGCAAGTTCAAGTGTCCGCACCTATGCTGCTGCTGATGGCTCCTATATCCTGCATCCTGGGGCCTTTTCTCCACCATCCTTCCTCTTTCCGAGATGCTGAGTTGGCTTTAGAATTAGTTATTCAGTTTAGATTATTCTTGTGTGGACCAAAATCTCAACAGTAGTTATCTCTGAGGATTTTACAAAACTTCATCAACTCAGATCACAGAATCAAACAGTTTAAACACAAGAAATGTAATGATAAAAAAACACCTAAGGAGCAGATGACCAATGAGCAGAAATTTAATAAATGTATTTATCATTTCTTACACTTGCATCTACTTTTTTGAGCTGGTGTACGTAACTGTCTTTTTGTGTGAATACTATAGTTTACAATTGTTTGAACCAAAACTTGTAAAAGCAAATTCTGTTTTCAATGTGTTAGAAAACATTATCATTCGCTTACATGTATACAATTCTGAAAGAACTTTGAGAGTCATTTGACTAAAAAAATCTGATCTAAAGATGTGAAAGAAACCAAACTGTTCTGAAACCGAGATGGATTTGTTAAGATGTTTGAAAGTTAGTTAGTCCAGCTTTGTGTGTGTGTGTGTGTGTGTGTGTGTGTGTGTGTGTGTGTGTGTGTGTGTGTGTGTGCTCTGATATTATTAGTTGTTTACCCACCTGTACAGTACCAACAGTTTATTCCAAAACAAAATGAACATAATTTCTATCTTAATTTTCATGATTGATGCTTGCCTCAAATGAACAAATGTCCTCCAAACAGACTTCTTTATTAAAGCCAAACTTTATGAAATACATCACCACTGTAGACATTTTAAATCCAAACATATTTACACATTTATAACACATTTATTTTGAGCAGTAAAAACCCGACTTTATTGGCAACACATCTAAACGTCTGTGGTTTTAGTTGTGATTCGCTCATCGCCATCGCCATGAGCTGCTGCTGATGCTTCAGATCTTAGATGATAGTTGTCCACAGTAGCTCATACATTACAAACATCATTCATTATAGCAGCTGGATCATTGTCTCTTTACATAATTTAGACTGTAACTTATATTTATTTGTGCCTGTCATGTCTTTTGCAGTCTCTCACTGGGTTTGCTTTGGTTGTGAGCAGCGATGGAATGGTTTTCTACGCCTCCTCGACCATCGTGGACTATCTGGGCTTCCATCAGGTCAGTAAAATGAGATGTTTTAGTGTTTACTGTCACCATTAGAAGCTGTGTATGAAAGTTTAAACACCCAGCAAGTAATCTTATTGTTTTGGACACATTTTGGAGATTAGGAATGATAACACCATATATTGTCAAATAAACGTGTTTTCCATTTTAAAATCAGAATCAGGATCAGAATCAGAATCCATTTTTATTGCCACGTAAGCAACAAACAAAAGTTACCACTTGGAAATTGTTTTGGCAGAGACCGTGCCACAGCCGCGCTGTGTGCAAGCAAGAAACAGCAGAGAGCAATAACACACAAAATTATAACATCATCTAGCTGGTTTGGAGAGATTGCAAATGGGCAGATCATGTACGGTGGTCCTAGAATTTACTGCTTTGGCCAAAACATTTCAACATTTCTGCTTAGGTGTGTAAACTTTCAACTTTATATTTTATCAATTCTATACATCTTATCATAATCTCACAGTGACTCCATTAACAAAGACATCGACAAGTGAAAGATTACTGGATTAAGATTAACACTGACAAAACGTACTGCCCTTGGACACGTCATTAACCTTGTCGAAAACATGTGTTAATGGAGAAAACCCTATAAAGATGGACAAATGGTTTAAATAAAAAGTTGATATTAAATCCTTATAATATTCCGTCAAACATAAAATTGTAAGCATTTTGTGACCATAAAGTGAACAGATGTGACAGATGAGTTCAATGTGATATAGCCGGCTAAACACTAGCATACCATCAAAGACACGCACAAGAAGCAGCTCTCATTCACTCTGCTTTGTATCGGAGTCAGAAGTAATGTATCGATTGGATATCTCTCAATTATAACAGATGACACTGCACCACATGCACAGGCCATTGTCCCCGTTTTCAAAGCCCCACACACACTCCCTCCTTTTACTGTAAGGGTCGGTAAGAGGCCACCAAAAGGCTGGGACCTCCACTTCACCCCACTTCTCTCCGAGGGTATCCGGGGGAAAATGGGGGGGGGTTGCTGTATAAGCCAGTTTAGCTTATCCAGGCGTTAATTATGAATGATATCAGCACAGTGGGGTCTGGTCCTGGGATGCAGCAGGTGGCCTTCTCCCTCAAAACCATAAACGAAGAGCTTTTTGCTGTTGCATTGGCCGCTGTGTTTTTGATAGGCACAACAAGACACACAGCTTTCTGCAAATATTTCTGCGCCGCTGCCTCCACTTGCCCTACAAGCATCTCGGCAGCAGCTTGAGTGTGACATGGAGACTAACACGGCCCTCCAGTTGTATTGCTGTTTGTGGGCTTTGGCAACGTCACTTTGAGAAATTACAAGCAATATCGCCCAGTGTGAAGAGATTAGATTAGAGAACTGTCAACATGTAGTAAATAACAGCGTAAATAACAAATCTCATCTCATCTTCATAAATGTTATAGTGGGCAATTTCACGTTTTGGATTAACTTAGAAAGCTGTTTAGGAGGTAAGCCGCCATGTTCATAACGTTATACAAAGAATTTCAGATGGTTTATGCCCCATTCATACACTCTGTTGCAATGCTTACTTACTTTTTAGATTCTTTTCAAGCCCCTGTCAATTTGTACAGACAAGATTCAGTTGTATACTGTTTTTTTTAAATATTTTTGTGATGTTTAATCTGTGTTCCAAACACTCACACATGCATAACACGTTTTTCAGGAAAGGAACTTATTTTAAGCATTAAGCTTGTTAACAACTGTTTTCATGACCAAAATGAAGACACACACTGTGACAATGAGGGTTACTTTGTCCATTTTTAAAGCCAGTTTGTTGCTATTGTATGTTGTATGTACCATATTGTACCATATTAGAGCCTCAATGTTTAAAGGTTACAGGTGAACATCATCCAGGACAGACGCACGAGCGACAGAGCTCTGTGCACATTGTTTGTTTAATGTCACGTAATCTGGAATAAATTCTTTGGTTTACACCATTTTACTCTTTGAGTTCTGCCGCCTCATTTGGACACTCGGGCCAGCTTCCCCCCACACACACAAAGAAAAAGCAGTGTATGTCTATGTTCACTTCAACTCATAATTGTTTTAAAAGAATACATATTTGGCATGGTTAGCTTCTTAATCCACACTCACACACAATGATGAAGCACCAAAAACAATGAGCTTTTTGGTCTGCAAAAATGTAATTGCTCCAATTGAAAAAAGTAGTAAAGAAAATGCAAAAAATAACAAAACAATACTCAGGATACAAACTTGGAAGTTCCTCTGAGAATCATTTTTTAAACATTACAAAACAGTCTAAAAGATGCAGTTATCCCACATGTATTAGATATAGCATATATCTCAGCCATGTGTGCGTTATTACATTTCCAAATAACTATACACAGATCGCCAAGACGGACATGACAATATTTAGTCTCTCACGCAATGCATTTTTCTCATTCCTGTCCAGAACTTATTTTGAATCAAATCTCCCCAGCCACAATTGAACTCATCCCCTGTGAATCTTACATACACAACGTACCACAAAACACTTCAGGCTTTTGGCTCTATTTGTTACTGGGCAGTTTGAAGGTCAGGGGAAATACCACAAATTGTCTTTATTTTTTTGGTGAGAAGTATAAACAATAAGTGCTGAATTTGAGTTACGGGACCCAAAACCACAGGACGGTACATGGGAACAGCTTGTATTTTGGAAGGCAGTGGATCAAAAGGCCTCGCGTGCCACTGCGCTGGAAATTAGGGAAGGAGGAAAGTGGAGACGGCTGAACTTTTACTGAGGAATCTGGTGAAATGACAAAAACTATCATGCATATGTGTAGACTTTTAACATTTGTCAAACCAACCATTTGCTACTTGAGAATTATAGAAGCCGGTTGTAGCCAAAGTTTGCTCACTTTTATTCAGTTATTCTTTTGGAACAATGTGAAAGTCATACTCAACAAATTGAAAAACAGAAGAGAAGAAGTCCAAACAAAAAGTTATTTTGGTTTACTATACTCTACTATTGTATGTGAATATATTGCCAAAGTGCACAGTAGCATCCGACAATTTATAGAGTGAAGAGAGAATGTCAGTGTTTAAGGGAAAAAGCAAGAAAAACTGCAGAAAAAAAGAAGATGCACTAATATTGATGCATATATCAATAAAGTGTATCTTATCTTATCTTATCTTATAATCAAAATACTAATTTTGAATACAGGATTATATTCCATATTTTTCACTTATAAATAACTTGATTATGTCTGCAATACAATGTGGAAATAAAGGATCTGGTAATCATCTATATTTTGCCACATTTATGTTTTTGCATAAAGGAGGAGGCAATAACATACACTTTCATCACAGCTTGCGGTTACATAATGGTTACTTCCTCACCATCGTGATATGTAATTAGATAGCATTGTATAAACAGTATCATTCTGCACATGTCATCACTATGAGACATACACAGCATTGTGTACATGTGACTGAGAGTCTGCACTCTGAGGCCGCTGTCACGCATGTCTGACAAACACAGCTGCTCCTGCAGACTCTCTCTGCTCTGTGAGGGTCTCTCTCATGTTCATGTGTGCACATACACTTGTTATGGAGGATTACAGCACCAGATTACCATCTCAGCTCCCTCCTGTGTGGATTAGCCCTTGTGATACCAACATGGCCAATGATCTCCATGCACAAGCTTTGTATTGTATGATTGTAGTTTTGCAGCTAGTTTTTGATGTTTATATGGTTCAAAAGTCTATTTACTTGTCTATAAAACTTACAAGATTTAGAAAATGTTTATATTTTGATAATGGACTAATTATAACAACAGAGGTTCGGCATATGTATCACTCTGTACCCTTTTCACATTGTAAGTGAAATAAAAGAAGATTTTAACAATATTGACTTTTTTAGAGTTCAGATATTTCACAAACAGTATTGCTAGATCGGGCGGTTTACCAATCATTTTGGCGGGCAAAGAAGGGTTTGGGCGAATGGATAGAGCTGATTTTGTATTAGTTATCAGGTATTAGCTAAAGTTGCATTACTTTCCATCACAGAAGCTGAGGTCAGCGTTACTTGCTTTTGCGTTTATTTGATTTGTCAAGATTTTGAGGGTATTTTTGGCATTCTCGCAGATTTTGACAAGGTTTTAGGCTGGAAACACTCACTGGCATCTGGCAACACTGTGTACAAAGCCAACACACTGCACTTCACATTACATCAAAGGTCTGCCAGCTCTCTGTTTCCTTTGAGATGTCTTTTTTAGTACAGTATAGTTGATTTAGACTAAAACATTATATTATAAAAATATGTAACTGTATGTAATTTAAAGTATTGCTAAATTTTTAATGAAGCCAAATAGGGAAGTGCTCATGAAGGAAGTTTTGCTCCAATCTCAGAAACTCCTCTAGCTCACAATGTTTTTCCTTTGAACATCCAAGCTGGTGTCTTTGTAGACCAGATATAAGCCTAAATCACTGGCCAATCAGGAGCCTTTCGCCAAAATTGACTTTAGCCAGTGAGAAAGGGACAGACTGGTGCCGCTCCTGATTGGCACTCGGTAATTCAACTGTTGCTACCGACAAAACTTAATAAATGTAGCTGCTCAAACTTCCTACTACAGCTCAATCTAATTGGCATTTTCCACATCAAGGCTACCACTATAGGTGCACTGAAAAAAATTATGACATAGGACATTTTAATTGCTTGAATCGAGTGATTGATTTGAGTACAAGAGTCATTAAGTCTTATTCTAAAAATGGTGAGCTTTATTTTCTCATTCAAAGGAGACATTTCTTGTTATTTTTTAACCAAGATAATTTTTCTTATTCCCGTTGGCAAATCTTGTTTTAAGGCAGTTTTGACTTATTTGTGATCACTTTTTGCAGTGTGACATTAGCAAAGTCCACTCCTCAGAAACAGTCCATGGTTAATATGAGGATATTTTCATCTTAATCTATATTATGAACTAAAGTTTTCATTGCTTAATCTTAGTTTAAATGATGAAGTAAGAGACTGTTTATTCCCTGCAGACGGATGTGATGCACCAGAATGTGTTCGACTACATCCACATCGACGACAGGCAGGAGTTCAGACGTCAGCTGCACTGGGCCATGTGTCCTCCAACTCACCAGGGGGCGCAGGCCAACCAGGACCACCCGCTGCCTACAGTTTCTGGTGGGTACCTCCCCGGGGGCCCACACACTTCCTGGGCCTCCAAGACCAACAGCAGGCACAAACAAGTGGAGACTGTGTGTACACTGTAGGAAGAATTCACTGGGGAGCATTTAAACATCGTGCACTACGGACATACGATCTCGGCAGAACAATGGACTGTTTAAAAGGCACAAATGCAAAATGTTTCTGCTTTGTTTTCTTATCAAAAACAGACCTGGAGTTGTTTTTATCTCTATCCATGCTATAATAAGGAGCAGATATGGCACAGATGGCACATATTGATCTTTTGGCTCCTTCTGTCTGAGCTTCTCTCTCAAACCCGGTGCACAAAGACAAATCCTTTAACCCTCAGGTCACAAACAGAGCCAGTTAGTATCACCTCCATTAGTTTTGGGCTTTTTTCCAGTTTAATTATGTTCTTTCCAACTGTATGCTTTCAAGTGCACTGCGCCTTGTTAGCCGTTTACAAAAAGAGAATTTTAATTTAATTTCAGACATCTACTACTAAAAGGAGAGCTTCACAAAACAATTACAAAATACTAAAATACATTTTGAAATTGTGTAGATTGTGTAAATTGCGTTTAAATGACACAATAGCTATGCAATAGATGTACATTAGCTGATAATTTTGTGTAAGCTCTCAGTCGTGCAGGGACAACGTTTCGTCCTTAATCCAAATAACTTTTTCAAGGGAAAAGGTGTTTTAATTCCCTTGAAAAAGTTCTTTGGATTAAAGGACAACACGTTGGGAAAACCTGCTAAGAAGTACAGATGATGGATGAGAAACCTTCCTTTGCATTAGCTGATAATGTTCTAATGAAGAAATAGTTCCACAATCATTAAATAGAATTACAATAATGTTTCTTTTAGGGGAAAAAATATTGAGATTCTTAGTGTGCTACTATCCAGACACGTTCACTTACACACAGTATACATTGTTTTTTCCATAACTGCAGCATTTTAATAAAGGACACGAATGTTTTGATTTGGAACAACGTTCAAGCAAAAAATACACCAATAGAACAGACATTACTTGTTCTCCTTTTATCACCCACTTTATGCAGTTCATTCCTGCTGTCGTCTGTTTCTCCTCTCCATTAAACGTTGTGTTTTGTAATGACATTGTAAAGTCAGTCTGGTTTGTTATGGCTGTTGATATGAAGCTGTGTATTTGTCTGTATGAATCCAGGTGAGGAGTACGTGGTGAGCAGCCTGTTCCACTCTCCGGAGACGGGGGGGATACCTGCGGACATGACCCCTTTCCTAAACAGATGTTTCATTGCCCGAGTCCGCTGTCTGTTGGACAGCACCTCCGGCTTTTTGGTGAGAACTCTCCTCATACGAGCTCCTTCTAGTGTTTCCCTTTACAAAACAGACAGACTTATTAAAACAATATTATGATGGCTTTGATGTTTGGTACCAGACACAAATATTCTTTAATATGGCGGAATTTCAGAGCCTATTTGGACTTTCATTTATGTCCAAAGTGTCCCCTGTTTACGACTAATGAAAATAAATACATTTGTATTTCTATATCATTAGAGGAATGGAATAAATAGAAAAAACATACACACTGTCTTATCTTGCATCAATATATATATATATTAAAAAAAGAATGGAGACTGTGTGTACACTGTAGGAAGAATTCACTGGGGAGCATTTAAACATTGTGCACTACGGACATACGATCTCGGCAGAACAATGGACTGTCGATATATGTATTGATGTGTGTAAATATACGTTGCAGCCAAGCCATTTTAATGATGCTAGAAAACTATGGAACATTTTTATTTTTCTATTTTGTTTCTGAGTTATGTTGTTGCAATATTTCAGTGGCCACACATCATGCCTTCTCATGTAATGGTAGTGTGCATCTTTGTAACGTCTCGTCTGCTCCCTCCAGACCATGCAGTTCCAAGGCCGTCTGAAGTTCCTCCACGGTCAGAAGAAGAAGTCTGCGTCAGGCGCTCTCCTGCCGCCTCAGCTCGCTCTGTTCTGCATCGCCGTGCCACTGCTGCTGCCCTCCATCACCGAGATGAAGATGAAGAATATGTTACTGAGGGGGAAGACCAAAGGAGGCGGCTTCTCCTCACTGGAGCATGGGTACGGCCTCAACTATTCTACAGCTACACTGGCACCACAGTGTTCAAGAGATAGGTCAAATTCAAAGTTTCTACTCACTATTTACTCTTTGAATAACATAATGAGTTATATAGCACATTTGTGTTCAATGTGTTCAATATTAGAGCTGGAATCCAAAACCTTCTCCCTTTCATAAGGTAAGATAAGATAAGATACACTTTATTGATCTCACACTGCAGAAAACTACATGTCACTTTTGGCATAGATAGATTCACTCAGATTGTGCAAAAGACGGAAGTGTGCAAAAGGTTAAAAATATAGCACGCTGTTAGTCCCAGATGAAAGAGCCCTGTGACAGTAACACTTAGTGAACAAATCTAGGACGTGCCGTCTTCATCTTTTTAGGAAGTATGTTGTAAGAAAGAGCCCTGTGAGTCACCAGTTGACATTTTGCGCTGGTTGGCTGATTGAGGCAGATCCTGTATTTTCACTTTTCTATCTCATAAAACTGATCTGAAGATAGGACAAGAGGCCAAAAATATATCTCAAATGTGAAAACTATAATGATAGAATCTAAGAGAGCTATAGGAACTAGTTAGATGAATTGGATTACACACAGTTCGCTACCCCAGTTTTAACTTAACAAAAAGGGCTTCAGATTCCATGCAAGTAAAATTGTTGCTTTAAATCTGAATGCTTATGGCCTTCACAGTTATTTATGTGTGTGGAATCTTGTGATTTGTCCCTCAGTAGGTTTGTGTGTAGAATCTATTATTATTGTCCCCACTGTATCCATATTGTAATTGGTTCTGTCCTTTTTTTACATAACAGTATAATATCACATGATTAAATTCTTACATCAAGCCTTTTAATGTGCAAACAAGAAATAAGTCATTTCTCAGGCACCAAAATGTCCATTAGTGATAATTGGATCTTGGTATTAGAAAATATATCACAGCGTTGTAAATTTTTCTTCGTACAGTGCAAGGTGTAAGCTCCTAGATGGTTTTAATGGGCTTTCCGTGGCTAAAGGTCAAAGGCTCAGTTGACAGCACTGGTCCCAGCGATAGTGAAGCTGTGGAGGATGATTTAACCTGAAGAATTTAACACCTCCAAAATAACACGACTACCAGGAAAGGGCAGAGCTTGGAAAGGCCAATTTTGAGTGAGAAGTACAATGTGGATTGTCAGGGCTGTGTGAATGTAAAAAAGTATTAATAGACCTACTATAGTATTATTTAGGGAGTCGAAAGGAAGTTATTTATTCTACTTCCTCAAATCCAAAAAAAGTCAATAAACCCAAATATAATGGAAACATAAGAAATATTTAAAAGAAATAGACAGAAAAGACAATTCAATAGATAGATGTGAGATTCCAACAGGGCTGTTTTTGAGCCATGGATAGAATTTTGAACCAAAGATTGAATTGTTAGTCTTAATCAAACAACCTGAAACAATTGTGTAACAATTTGTCTCTCTGAAGAGGTTCTCCCTTGAGTTTTGTTTTTAATGTATGAAAATATATCATATTTCACTGACCTTAATCAATAATCGGCAAAATCAATCTGTGATGCCACTGCACTTGCTATAACATGTGTACAGTACATATAAGTAGGCCTAAAGTCATTCTACCTGCTCTTTTCCAACAGTGGTGCAATGTCCAGGCAAACTGTTAACTTCTGTGTCACTTTTCTCCAACTTCAAACCAGTAACAGCACTGGTCTGTTAACCGCGTCCAATTAAGATAAAACCCAAAGCCTCATTAGGAGCTGAAAGAGGCTCAGAGGCCAAGAGTTCAGCAGACCCTCCCTTCACCTGCACACTGCGTCATTAGGACCTTGTCACGGCAGCATCACCAAACCTTTACCTGAAAGTTCAAAATCAATTTACATGTTGCCCTGAGATTAATGCACTGCTTCAATCAAGGCTTTTTTTTTTTTTTTTTTTTTACAGCTTTTACTAAATTTTCAGGTAGAAAGTATCTAACTTTAGGCACAAATTAATATCGCCAAGATGTATGGGATTGTAGAACTCCAAAAAGATGCAGGCGTTGGATTGATTGGTTGATTCACTTTCAACCAATCAATTGATCACTTGATTCAGTCTGATCAGTCTTCGGGTAAAAAAGTTTCCTGGATCCGTTTGAAAAGAAGTTAAGTGACTTGAGTGACTATAGAGGACATATGTCCACTTGTTTGGTTTTACCTCAATTACAATTATTGCTGTAAATCCAAATGTTTATGCCCTTCACAACATCAGAGAGCTGGAGATTATTTATGTGTGTGTAATATCGTGATTAGTTCCGCAAGTACTGTAGGTTTGTGTGTAGAATCTATTGTTTTCGTCTCCACTGTATCCATATTGTAATTGGTCCAATGTTTTAGCTCTAAGTGAACCAGAACTGGTCCAGTTAAAGTGAGACGCAGTGTATTTTTGTTGCAGTAACATTGCAGAACCACTCGGTCTCCAACACCAGAAACATCAGATTGAGCCAGAGGGAGATTGTGTGAATAGCATTGTACGGTATCAACAAGTAATATACAGGATCAGCTTGTTCCAGTGATCCTGGACTCATTTACACTACTCCCTAACCCTAACCCTGCTCTGATCATAACCCAGTGAGACTTTGATCCTGGATTGTGATTTACTTGTGAAGGCCAAGGAGAGTATGTGACGAGTTCAAAACAGCTTACTTATTCTTTGTCAACAACAACAAAGAAACAAATATACATACAACAGAATGTAATATTCATTTTCCTATTCTGAAATAACCCTGTTAACAAGACATTTCAAGATGACTCTGAACTGAAAATATAATACAAATACATTTACATATGTTTACATAACATATTACTATTGTCCAAGAGTCTGGTGCACTTGTGGATGTAAAGTGCTTAGGTTTCATAATTGATGTTTGCAGTTAAAGTGATTCAAGTGTGAATATAAATGTGTTTATGTTTGTTTGTATCATACGGGACAGTTCACAGTCATCAGCAGTGGCAGAGTTAGCCATGCAGGCTAACGTCCATCTGTCCTCCCATTGGCAGGTTGATGGCAAAACAGGAAAACAGGGCACGTAATAACCACAAACACATGACATTCAGAGATATGAAAGGTCAGTGAATTACAATATGTAGTTAAATATGTTGTACAGTAGTAACTTCAGCCAAATATCTTCCACAAGACAAAGACATTATTTGGAACATGCACAAATACATTAGAAAAAGCATAACTCGGTCCATAACCTTCGTACCTTTAATTTGTTATTGTCCAAATCTGTTCCCAATTTCCAGATAGGACGAACCCAGGAAAGGATGAGTCACATTTGGAGTATGTGAACCAAAATGAACCTTACCAAGATATTTGAGCAATGAATCACTTCAACATGGGGATAACATAAACTGAGTGGTGTATATGTGTACAAGAAAAACACAGCTACAAACATTAAAGAATGAATTATCCTCTGACCCCCTAACCCCAACCTGTTTCTATCTACTTGTTATCCACATTTGACTAGCAAAATACATGTGAAATGTGAATTATGTTTCTGACCACTGTCCGCTGTATTAGACCAAGCCGTCTAAATGTCCAGCCTTGTAACTGAGCCATGGCGTTTTGTAGCATTATGGGTTTTTACATCATTATAATTTGGGTTCCAGATGGCATAAAGTTCATATATAGTTTTAAATAGTTAATTCCAGTAATGCAGTGACAAATGTTAACCCAGATTTTCTTCATTTATCCAGTGTTAGATACAAAACATAAAATTAGGTATGCTGTTTGTGATTCAAAAGGTTTAATGGTTTAATGGTTTCTCACAAACAGTGACACAAAATTAACTAGATAAATGAAAACAAAATGGCGTGTTGCAACAATAGCAATGTGCTGATAAAAAAAAGATTGGAATCTGGACATCTTGGCAGAGTAGAAAGTGCAAGACAATGGATGGGAGGATGGTAGTTTGTATTGGAAGATAATTACTTTGGAATAAACTTTTGATGTTGCTCAGTTGTATGTTTTGTTTTCCAGTGAGCGCGGGGAGCACCTCAGAAGATATCCTGGTGGAATGGGCGACATCTCCGACCCTCTGCTCATGTCCTGCTCCACTCCAGGACCAACCCAGCGAGGCCACCACACGCCCTGGACCCCCGTCTCCAAGGACATCGTGAAGTACCGTCCCGATGTCTACTACAACCAAGAAGAGCCTCTCAACTACTGCAAATCCACCATGAGCCTCCAAAAAGGGGCGTGGCCTCTGAGATCTTCCGGTCCAGTACGAGGCGGTTACATGGCCCCCAATCGCTTGAAGGGCGGCCATTTTGGAAAACCGTATCGCTACGCTCCCAGCTGCCACAACAATCGCGGCGGCGAAGTCTTCGTCTCCAAGCTTTACGGGAACGTCCAAATCCCGTCTAATCCCGATGCGTATTGCGTGGATTTGGTGAAGAGCGAAAACGGTTACGGCGAATGCTACGACGGTCACATGATGCCCGAGATGCCGCCCATCAAAGTGGAGCACGATTCGGATTCGGAAAACGGCTGCGATGCGTACGGGCGGCCGTACGAGAACTACGATCGCCGCTACAACAACAGTGGAATATACGACCACAGCAACCTCCAGCTCAAAACGGAGTCCGACTATTACGATCCGCAGTATTCGCCGTGCCAGAGGTCGAAGACAGGCATCAGTCCGCAGTATAACAACAATAACAACTACCAAAACTATGCAGTAAACAACCGCCTGGCAAAATGCAACAAGGAAATGTCCGACAGCCACTTCAGCCCCCATAGACTCTCCTATAATGACTCTCTATGCAACAACCAGTCTGTTAATCTCATGGACAATCACGTGTACCAATCTTCTCAGGACTCTCATAAGCAGTACATGGACTACAATAGCAAGCAGAACGGCTATGAGTATAAAGGGCACGGTTTGATTCACTCCATCAAGCGGGAGCCCATGGATTCTCCTCCCTGGTCCGAAAACGACATGAACCAGTCAATGATGATGGGCCAGAGGAATCACATGCCTTGTGTGATGAGTACAGGGCAGCACAAGTCCGCCCCGTATGTTTACATGCCCTAAGGTGGCTCCGGCATGTTCACAGATGCAGTAAACCTACTATACCCTCGTACACACAAATGCATTCATCAGGTAGAAAGTTATGACCAAGAAATGGGGGATGAATAGTGGAGGATTGGAGGAGTAAGCTCATACAATACATATGCTCACAAAAAATAATCCATTCATTGTATTCCGCTTTCAAATCAATACATTTTTGTATAGCCCAAAATCAAGGGCCATCATCTCATCACATAATAATAAGAAAATCAAATAATTATAACACATAAGAAATACAACAATAAAACATTCCTTCTGCTATTCAGGGGGATCCCATTGGAAATTCCAATATTGTTGCAAAACCAAATCTCTTTATGGCCTGAGGTCTTGAAACAGATGTTGATAATCAACATAATCAACAATTTAACTAATTATTTAGAAGCTGAGGTGCCTAACTTTGAAACCACAACAACTGTACTATATGTTAAATTCCACCTAAATATATTCATGTTTTTTGGCCCTTGTCACATCTTTAGCTTTTTCAGACATAAAAATGAGACCAATCAGCCCATTGTGTCAAGTAGTGACTCACAGGGCTCTTTCTTACAAGCATGCAAAATATATCATGTTTTCTAATGATATTTGTTTATAAGACTCTTTCGGGGCGACAACAACATGGATTATTAATGAGAAAAAACTACTTCCATGTGTAAGTGTGACCCATTATGCACCAGAAATATTGCTGATTGACCCTTGCTTAAGTCAATAATAGGATCATGTATGTCTATTGTTTTCCACGCTTGTCAGAACCCAGGAAGAGGAAAAAGATTGTGGAATTTGCAGAAGAAAAAAATGGATGGTCAGACTGGTATGCATTAAAATGATCTTCTATGAGAGTCAACCATATAGAAGACTATAGTAGAGGATTATCATATATATATAATTATTATATTTGGGACCTCAATATTGATCTAAAACTATGATCCATTCCTCGTGTTTGGGATGTATAGGATTGCATGATATAAAGTCGGTGGTCATAATGTTTTGCCTGATGAGTGAATTGATACATTATCGTGTTGTAATTGTTGTCACACCAGCTTTATCCAAGACAATCAAGGCTCAGGTTCTTGTGTTTGTGTTGTGACAATCTGAAATAATACAAAAATAAAATCATGTTACGAATCCATGTACTTGTTTTTAAAGAGTACATTTTTGTAGTTGTTTCCAAGCACTTTTTTTGTGATTTTAGTGACAATTAGGCAAAATATGTCTCGAGACACAATTTCTCTTTTGTTACAAGTTGTGTACACCTGATGAATTTGCTGTACAGAAAAAAGTATACACTAGTTTGACAGTGTTACACAGGAGATAGAAGAGCTGCCGATATACGACGCCGTGGGGACCCATCCAAGTGTGTGTAATGTGTGTGTAATGCAAAAATCAATTCAATATTATCAATTTAAGGTTAATTAAACCATGCTATAAAGATTTGGCTCTAGTTACACTTTTCTGATTTACTATTTTAAATAAGCTACAAAGATTAACATAATGAATAAAAGCATGTTACAACATTGTTCCTTCATACAAAACAGACCTACAGTTGTTTTTAAATATATCTATTCAAGGAACTTGTCGCAAACACATACCTCAACTCTTTTGTCCAAAAGGCTCCTCAGCTTTCTCAGCCCTGTGATAGTATGATGTCATTGTACCACTGTTACATCATGAGAGCAGTTTCTTTAAAACAAACCTTTAACCCATTCAATAGTTTTGGCAATATCTCAGGTGAAATTACATTCTCTGCAGTCGCATCCCTGTGATTGCAGCCAGTCATTTTTGAATCCAGAAGAAAGAACACATTAAACTCCACTGGTGGTAGCACACAGAGTTACAGATGGAAAGCATTTGTTTGTACCCTTTGTTGTATATTTTCTTCTTCGTTCACTATTTAAAACATAAAATGCCAATAGCCAAAATGAATGCAAATTATGTTTTCTTTAAAACACATTCAGTACAAGATATCAATTCAATCAAATCTAATATACTATAGTTTCATAGTCTCTTGTCCTAAAAAACGCCTTTTACACGATCAGTATTTTGCATAAATGTATAAAAACGTAACAGATTGACTGTAATTTGATTGCACTATACTCAGTTGAAGTTTGGCTCCGACGCGCACAACTCACTGTCTTTATATCTTTGTATGTTCATTTGGACAATAATGTTTGCTGATTTGTATTTATTGTAAAGTGTATAATTTAAAACGACTACAGTTTGAAGGCTTTCTGTTATGATGAGGTAAATAATTAGCGCTTTTTTTCTTTCCATCTTTTTGATATTTGTTTTAAAAAATGACTTGTTTGTCTCAAGGAGGAGGTAGCTGCAAGGTAGCGAACACAGTGTACATAAGCAGTGTCTTCCAATGTTTTTATGTGTTTTTTTGCAAATGGACTCATCTATTAAAACATTTCTTTACATGGAACAGACCTGAGTAATGTCATTTTGTCCCTCGTGAAGAGAAGATCAACTTTACCTTAAAGCAGGGGTACCCAACTTGTTTTGTTACATAAGTAATGTATTTTGAAAATCACATCCTTCCACAACATCTTGTATTTAACTTCTTTTGGGCTGAGATGGAGAGAGAATTGTCCCCTTTCCCCCTCCTATGTTTTATAACACGGATCTAAAGATGTGACAGACGCCAAGAATGAGTACATGTGAAAACTAGAGATACAGTAGAACCAAAATGTTTTGCTTGGTTAACCCCAGTTGGGTAACACAGTTTAGATGAGCCAGGGAAGCTTGAATAGGCTAATGCTAACTCATTCTAGGTCCAATTACTTGATAAAAAATAAATTAATAATATTAAAATACAGTATTAGGGGTTTAAGCATTTTCCCTTATCATTCTATACAATAGAATAGTTATTTACTTTGAATGTATTTATGGCACTGAGATGTGTTGAGTGATCAGAGGGTCCTGTGTCTGTCTTCACCATGTGCAAAATAGATGGAAAATAAACCCAAGTGTAAATCTCTGTGTAAGACCCTGGCCTGAAAACCGTGTGAGATCCCATAGTGGAATTTCCAGGTAATTTTTTTGACTTCATAACATTACCTACTATTGCTTTGAAAGGGCTTCATTCATGTTTGAGCAATCAATAATTGGTTAAGTTACAAGCCTATACAGACCGACATACAGAATTTATAGTTATTACCCGATTATTAATAATATTTGATTGTGATGTCTATTGAATTTTCACTTTCCTGATTGACTGTTTGCACTGCAAGCGTAAATATTGATATGAGTCAGTGTGGATCGCCCATTAGATTTATGCTTGTGTTAATAATAAATGTTGAAGCGGATACAGCGATCACAGTATGATTAATGAGCTGTGAGTTCTGCACGACAGCTCCTTCACACGGACAGAAACCTGAGCTGTTCTCTACTGTTTTAGGGCCGAAGCCCCACATGTACTCAGCTGGACTTTGCCTGCAGCAGAATCAGCAGGCAAAGTCCAACTACTGGCCTGATCTGTGGAGAGGCACACGTGTATGTGTCTGTGTATGGAGAGAAAGAGTAATGACATATGAAGCGTCTTTGAGTGTCTAGAAAAGTGCTATATAAAACAAAGCATTGTTATTTTTATTACTAATTCTTACCTTTAGTTACACAGAGTCATGGAAGTTATGTAATCAGTCAGAAGATCTTAAAGGCAAACACATCACAAACAACATTTCATATAAAAGCTGGTTAATTTCCATATTAAAGCGGGGATATATGATAATATATATTATATATATTTTCACCACAAAAACGGACTATGTATTAGAATCCATCCGAATAGTTCCCAGCTCTATAGTTCTCAACAGTTCACATTCATTTATCTTTTAAGATAAGCTGTTCCAGACAGAGAAGTGAAACCAAGAGGGCCCCCTCACTGAGACGAACATCATTTAATCCAACACATGCTCTTCCTAACACAAAGATAATATGTTATCAGATAAAATGCAGCTTAAGTGGAAACTCAGACTGGTAGACGACCTGCGGCAGTCCCATCCCACCCAAGGCCAGCCTCCTTCATCCTCAGCCTATCACACAGCGCTGCCCATTGCCTGCCTGCCAACCTTTGCCAAACCAGCAGTTTAAAAGCAGAAATGCCACCACTACCTCCCGCATCCTCCTCTGGCCCTTCAGGCTTAACACTAGGACTCCCAGAGCAGTCAGTTTGACTGCTTATAATTTTGGAAGTGCAATTATTGCTCAAGTGCGCTTTGTGACATTTCATGCATCTTTATGTAGTTTATATCTTTGTAATTATCTTTATGACATGATCTCGATCTAGACTGTTCCTGGACTGGTCTGGGACTGGTCCTGGACTGGTCCTGGCTCAGGGAAATCTCAGCTCGGATTAAGTGCTAGTCACCATAGCAGCGTTTACTTGCATCAGTTAGAATTTAGTTTTTCTGTATTTTAAGGCAAGTTAATTCATATAGCATTATTCATTCACAAGACAACTCAAAGTGCTGAACAAAATTTCCCTATGTGGGACGAAAAAAGGATCTCTTAATCTTAAAAACAAGATGGAGACAGTCAAACCACCACCACCACATCAACCCCACTCATCAAGTGGGCCCAGACCCATAGACAACCTGCTAGCCCAGTTTCCGCGGTCATATGGCACCTAAGCAGGATCTAAACGTGTTTTTGGTCTAGGCCCTCTCAGTGGGCTTTAGGTTGTGTTTGTGACCACAGCCCTAGTGTTAACACGCTCATCCCAACTTCACCCTCCAGCATGGACGTCGGAACTATTTTCTGAGAGGGGGGGCGGGTTTTTGTTGGGAGAGTCGAGGGAGAGACTCATACTTGGATTACACTGGATAATAACATACCATCTTAATTGTTAAGAAAACAAAAAATAAACAATATATATCAAGCAAGTCACTTATCAAACTGAACATTGTTTTTTTCAATACGCATTCATGCGTCAGTCTCTCCGGTGGCTTCATTGTGTTGTGTAGCCC